ATGTTGTGTTAGTTTAGGCTACAGTGGGTTAGCCTATAGGGGGTACACAATTCTAGGGTTAGGTATTTGTACTCATTTCACTGCTAGTTCACACATTCCTGTTCAGTGATTCCAACATGGTATAGAGCAGGTCCTTCCTAGGACCGAAATTTTCTAAGGGCCCACCACTACGTAACTACCTACCTACCTACCTACCTGTGCTCTAGGGCGCCTTGGCGTGTCACGCTCCTAGAGGCCCCTCTTGACGGCCCCGCGCTAGCCCCGTTCAGGGCCCCGTCGGCCCCAAGCCCGCTCTCCCTAGCGGCCTCGTTCAGGCCTCGTCGGCCCCTTTAAGGCCCCGTTCAGGCCCCGCGCTAGCCCCGTTCAGGCCCCGTCGGCCCCGTTTCATGCCCCGTCGGCCCCGCGCTAGCCCCGTTTCAGGCCTCGTCGGCCCCGTTTCAGGCCCCGTCGGCCCCCGCTCTAGCCCCTCTCAGGCCCCGTCGACCCGCGCTAGCCCCGTTTCAGGCCCCGTTGGCCCCGTTTCAGGCCCCCGTCGGCCCCGCGCTAGCCCCTCTCAGGCCCCGTCGGCCCGCGCTAGCCCCGTTTCAGGCCCCGTCGGCCCCGCGCTAGCCCCTCTCAGGCCCCGTCGGCCCCGCGCTAGCCCCACTCAGGCCCCAATCGGGCCCGCGTTCAGCCCCGTTTCAGGCCCCGTCGGCACCGCGCTAGCCCCGTTCAGGCCCTGTCGGCCCCTTTGCTAGCCCGTCAAGGCCCCGTTTGGCCCCGCGCTAGCCCCGATCAGGCCCCGATTCGGCCCCTGCGCTCGCCCCTCTAGGGCCCCAACGGGCCCCGTGCCGACCTCGCGACCATGCCCACCACCTAGAGGCCCCGGGCGGCCCGTCCCCGCCGTGACCCGAGCCGCGCGACCTGAGCTACGCGCCCCGAGCCGAGCCGCGCGCCCCGAGCGAGCCGCGCCACCCAGCCGAGCCGCGACCCGACCCTGAACCGAGCCGCGCCGCCCTGCCCTACCTGGTTCGTCCTACCTGCTTCTCCTACTGCTACTGCTGCTATTTCTACTGTTCCTTATGGCTAGCCCACAGGTTCTCGTGTTCGATGCTGAGGGCCCGCCCTGTGAAGTTTGACACCTGGCTCGATGACCTGCACCTCTACCTACAGCTCACAGCCAAGGATGACATCTCACTGTACGATCACGCCCTAGGCCATGTCACTGCCCGTGCTGCTACTGCTGACAGCACTGCTCGCTCACAGTGGCAGACTCGTGATGCCCACGCTCGCTTCGCCATTCGCAGCTCCCTGCCGATAGACGAACGTGAGCACTTTGGTCAGCACAAGACTGCACAGGCACTATACACAGTTGTAGTTGCTCGCTACTCCTCACCTGCCTCTGCCGCACTAGGCCGTCTCTCCCTCCCCTACCTGTTTCCCGACCTGGCCTCCTTTCACACAGTCGCTAACCTCATCATGCACCTCCGTACTAGTGAGGCCCGCTTCCGTGCCACCATGCCTGCTGAGTTCCTTGCCAGGCACCCCCCTCTACTCTGGCTCACTCTCTACCACCTAGTCACCCGCCTCCCTGACACACTGCGTGCTGTCAGGGACCACTTCCTAGCTCGTTGCCCCACTGAGCTCACCATTGCCCTCCTCGAGAAGGAGCTACTTGCAGCTGAGACTAGCATAGTCGCTGTAGGTGCCTCTCGTGGCGACCCCCGTACCCCGTTCTTTGAGGGGTGCTCTCCTTCCTCCCTTCCCTCTGTCGCCTCTGCTGCTGCTGTCGACCTTCTTGGTACTGAGAAGGTCGGCGCTGCGTCTGCCTTGAGCGGACGTCGCAGCGGCAAGGCAAAGGGGGCAAGGGTGGTGGCAGTGACGGCGCGGGAGGAGGCGGTGGGGGCGGTGGAGGCAGTGGGGGTGGTGGCTCGACTGGAGGGGCGAGTGGTAGCGGTGGGGGTGGTGGCAGCAGCGGCGGGGGAGGTGGCAGGAGTGGAGGCGGCGGTTGGGTTGGCGGTGGACGAGGCGGCGGCAGGGGTTGGGGTGGTCAAGGAGGTGGCAGCGGTGGTGGTGGCCGTGGAGGCACAGGCGGTGACCAGGGCCAGCAGCACACTCCCTCGCCCCAGGAGGTCCGTGAGTGGTACTCTCAGCACGGGGGTGGGGGTGGTCTTAGCTGCACGTACGTCATTCGCACTGGTGACCGCACTGGTCAGCAGTGTGGACGACTGCACACCACACAGCGCTGCTTCTCTCGTCTGGACGACGCTTGGCGTGTTCAGTTCCCTCAGGCCACTGAGCTGCCCCGCTGGCTTGATCTCCTGAAGAAGGGGATTGATATCTATGCTCTAGACTTTGATGCTATTCTATCTGCCATGTATGTGATGTCTACTAGTGGAGAGGGTGCTGAGTACTTGTGTGTGCCGCCCGACCCGGGCATTAGGGCCAGTGCGTCTGCCGCTCCAGGTTCTCGCGTGTCGGCTACCCCAGGTGCTGGTGAGGCTGCTGCTCTAGGTGCTCGTGTGTCTCCCCCCCTTGGTACTGCGTCGACAGCTGCACTGCACACTTTCACACTGGACTCAGGTGCTTCTCGCTGCTTCTTTCGTGACCGCACTGCCCTTGAGCCGCTTGCTCGGCCAGTTGCTATCTCCCTTGCTGACCCCTCTGGGGGTCCGCTCATTGCGACCTCTTCCACAGTCCTTCCCTGCCCTGCGGTCCCGTCGGGCACACTGTCAGGTCTCCACCTCCCCTCGTTCTCTACGAACTTGGTGGCAGGATGTGCACTCCAGGACGGGGTGTTCACCAGTTCACCCCTGCCTACGAGCGCGTGACACACTGCACGTGTGCTCGTACGGGCCGTCACTTGGCTACCTTCACTCGGCAGCCGGGGTCGGACCTGTACACACTGACTACTGATTCCCCTCAAGTTGCTGCGACTGCGTCCGCGTCCGCGTCAGGTCAGCTGTCCGCCCCCTGCTCGTGTCGCTCTTTGGCACACGAGACTGTCCTCTGGCACCACCGCCTTGGCCACCCGTCTGTGCAGCGGCTTCGTGCCATGCACTCCCAGTACCTTGTCTCTGGCCTGCCCAGGGTCCTTCCTGCCCTCCCACCCTCGCCTGCTCCTACCTGTACTCCCCTAAGTCGAGGGACGGCAGCGCGCCGCTCCTCACTCCTCCTCGTTCCCCCCGACGACTGCTCCCTTGCAGACACTCCACATGGACGTGTGGGGCCCAGCCTGCGTCCGTGGTCAGGGTCAGGAGAGGTTCTTCCTGATAGTTGTTGATGACTACTTGCGCTACACCTCAGTCTTCCCCTTGCGCACCAAGGGTGAGGTCCCTGATGTCTTGATCCCTTGGATCCGCAGAGCCCGTCTCCAGCTCAGCGAGCGTTTTCACTCGGACTTTCCTGTCCTGCGCTTGCACTCTGACACAGGTGGTGAGTTCTCCTCCGACCTCTTGGCAGCCTACTGTGCTAAGCACGGCATTGAGCAGTCGTTCACGCTTCCGGCTTCTCCACACCATAATGGGGTTGCGGAGCGCCGCATTGGCCTGGTAATGGGGGTCGCCCGTACCTCCTTGATCCATGCGGCTGCCCCCCACTTTCTGTGGCCGTTTGCGGTCCGGTACGCTGCGCATCAGCTCAACCTCTTGCCCCGTGTCTCCTTGCCAGAGACCTCACCCACACTGCTGTGGACGGGGGAGGTTGGCGATGCGTCACGTTTCCGGGTCTGGGGGTCTCGAGCTTTTGTCCGCGATTCGTCCGCGGACAAGCTCTCCTCCCGTGCTGTTCCCTGCGTCTTCCTCGGCTTTGTCCCGGACGCGTCTGGTTGGCAGTTTTACCACGCCACCTCGCGCCGAGTCTTGCCCACCCAGGACGTCACTTTTGACGAGTCCGTCCCCTACTACCGCCTCTTCCCCTACCGCACTGCCCCGCTCCCCCCCTCCCGCCTCTCTTCCTCGCACCAGGTGCTGCTGTTGTAGACCCCCTCCCCCCTCAGGGTGCCGCTCCCTCAGGTGTGTCTCAGGTAGACCCGGTTGAGCCTGTTGAGGTAGCTGTCGACTCTCGTCCTGCTGGGGGTGCTGAGCTTGGGGGTGCTGAGCCTAGGGGTGTGGAGCCTGGGGGTGTGGAGCCTGGGGGTGTGGAGCCTGGGGGTGTGGAGCCTGGGGGTGTAGAGCCTAGGGGTACTGAGCTTGGGGGTGTGGAGCCTAGTGGTGCTTAGCTGCGGAGTCCAGAGGGTTCTGAGTCTGGAGGTACTAGGCTTGGGAGTCCTGCACTTGGAGGAGCCCTCTCCTTGGAGCAGCTGCGTGCGTGGTACTTAGAGTACTGCAGCCTCCGGAGAGGTACCGCTCAAGCCGGACGTACTACTGGGACTAGTGCTAGTGCTTCTTCTCCCGTTCGGGAGCTCCCCTCCCGCGAGCGGATCCGTGAGTGGTACGAGCGGCCCTGCACTCTTCGGAGTGGCGTGCCTCGTGTTACGGACCCCGCTGCTGTTGGAGCTGGTGCTGGTGCTGAGGACCCGGGCGTTGGAGCTGCTGCTGGTGCTGAGGACCCGGGCGTTGGAGCTACTGCTGGTGCTTGAGGACCCGGGCGTTGGAGTCGCTGCTGGTGCTGAGGACCCGGGCGTTGGAGCTGCTGCTGGTGCTGAGGACCCAGGCGTTAGAGCTGTCGCTGGTGCTGCGGACCCGGGCGTTGGAGCTGCTACTGGTGCTGAGGACCCGGGCGTTGGAGCTGCCGCTGGTGATGAGGACGTGGGCGCTGGAGCTGCTGCTGGTGCTGCAGACCCTGGTGCGGGTGTCCCTGCTGGCTCTGGTGTCGCTGCTCGGTCTCGGCCGTACTTTGTTCCGCTCCTTCAGCAGGTTCTCGGTCAGCTTCCTCCTCCTTTTCCTTCTCCCTCCTTAGCGTGTCCTCCACCTGTCCAGCTGCAGTCGGCGTTACCGTCTGCCTCCTCTCTCCCTGGTCCTGCTCCTTACACTGGTCCGACTGGAGGTCTTACTGAGCGGCGTGAGCCTGCGTCTCGTCCTATGTCGCCTGAGTCTCGTCCTGAGTCGCCTGTCCGCACTGCTCTCTCTAGTAGTCGAGTCCAGCGTCAGCGTCTTCCTGCTGTCCCAGGCACTCACCGGATGGCGCTTCGTTCGTCCACTGCTCCACAGCGTGTCCCACTACCATCTCCTCCTGCTTCCTCTCTTCCTGCTCTTGCTGACCCAGGGTCAGACTCTCTTCGTGCTACCAGTCCTACTGTCACGCGTCTCCTGGCTACTGTTGTCAGTGACCCTTCCTTTGAGTCTGCTGCTGCGTCTGCCTTAGTTGCTGAGCTTGTCGACTTTGCTGCTCGCTGTCGTCTAGACTACGCTGCTAGCCTAGTTGCTGAGTCTGAGTCTGTCTGTCCTCCGTCCGTCAGGGGTGAGTGTGCTCTTGGCACGGACGTCCTTGAGGACAGGCAGGAGGAGTTTGAGTGCTTTGCTGCCGCTTTGCCCCATCTCGTGTCCATGCTTGTTGCCCCTGAGGGAGACCCAGATGCACCAAACATCCCGACCCCACGCTCTTACGCAGAGGCGATGGCCGGTCCCTACTCCTCTCAGTGGCAGTCAGCCATGGACACAGAGATGGCTTCCTGGAAGTTCATAGGCACCTACGTCGACGAGGTTCCCCCACCTGGGGCGAACATCGTCAGTGGCATGTGGATTTTCAGGGTGAAGCGGCCGCCGGGCTCTACGCCTGTCTTCAAGGCGCGTTACGTTGCACGAGGCTTCAGTCAGCGAGAGGGAGTTGACTTCTTCCAGACCTTCTCCCCGACCCCAAAGATGACCACTCTTCGGGTTCTGCTGCACGTCGCCGCTCAGCGTGACTACGAGCTCCACTCGCTTGACTTCAGCACTGCTTTCCCGCAAGGCAGCCTGCACAAGGAGATCTGGCTGCGCCGTCCACCTGGCTTCACTGGGTCGTTCCCTCCTGGTACCCAGTGGAGCCTCCCACGGCCAGTCTACGATCTCCGCCAGGCGCCTCGTGAGTGGCACGACACACTGAGGACTACGCTTGCGGCTCTTGGGTTCGCGTCTTCTACTGCTGACCCGTCGCTGTTTCTACGCACCGACACCTCACTGCCGCCGTTCTACGTCCTTGTGTACGTTGACGACTTGGTCTTTGCTACTGCTGACACTGTGGCACTCGCCCACGTGAAGTCGGAGCTGTAGAAGAGACACGTGTGCACAGACCTGGGTGAACTGACAAGCTATCTTGGCTTGCGGATCACCTAGGACAGAGCACGCCACACCATCACCTTGACTCAGTCACACATGGTGCAGCAGGTCCTTCAGCGCTTCCGCTTCACGTACTCCTCGCCTCAGCCCACTCCTCTGCCTACCGGTCACTCGCTCTTAGCTCTGCCTTCGGATGAGTCCGTAGAGCTGAGTGGCCCGTAACCAGAGCTTGTAGGTTGCCTCATGTACCTGATGACCTGCACTCGACCAGACCTTGCATACCCTCTCAGCATTCTTGCACGCTATGTCGCTCCCGGCCGTCACCGGAAGGAGCACGTGGATGCAGCTAAGAGGGTGTTGCGCTACTTGTGCAGTACGTCGGGCATGGGGCTAGTGCTTGGAGGGCGAGTCCCAGTTGTTCTCACTGGGCACTCAGACGCTTCTTCGGCTGACGACCAGGCTACTCAGCGGTCGTCTCAGGGTTTCTCTTTCAGTCTTGGCTCTGGTTCTGTTTCTTGGCGTTCTACTCGCTCTTCTTCTGTTCTCAGCTCCAGTTGCGAGGCTGAGATCTACGCCACAGCCATGGCGGCCCAGAGCTACGCTGGCTCACCTACTTGCTGACCGACCTTGGAGAGCAGCCTCGTTCTCCTCCAGTGCTGTACGTCGACAACAAGGCAGCCATTGCCTTGTGTGAGGAGCACAGACTGGAGCACAGAACGAAGCACATTGCTCTGCGTTACTTCCTTGCTCGAGAGCTACAGCAGCGTGGTCAGCTTCGCCTGCGTTACGTGGCCTCTGAGGCCAACACTACTGATGTGTTCACCAAGGCGCTTCAGCCTTGTGACCATCATCGCTTTTGCACTCTTCTAGGCCTTGTGCCTACTGGACCTCACTTGCTTACTTCTTGAGTCTGTTTGTACTGTGATCTCTATATATATACCTGCATGTTTACTCTTGTTAGGTTGTGATCATTGTACCTTTTGCTCTATTATAAACCTGCATGTGAACTGGTCTTTTGACCACTTGCTTGTGCTCGGAATTTGTGTGGTATCCTTGAGATCCACTCTGAGCTTGTTTTGCCTTGCTTTGCCTTGACTGGTCTTGTTACCCCTAGTTCTCCGCCACTTTGCCTATGGGGGTGTGTCAAACATTATATATGTTGTGTTAGTTTAGGCTACTATGGGTTAGCCTATAGGGGGTACAGAATTCTAGGGTTAGGTACTTGTACTGATTTCACTGCTAGTTCATACATTCCTGTTTAGTGATTTCAACAGTCGTCACAGGGTTACACCTTCAACCTTGGTTCCGGCTCTATTTCGTGGCGGGCTACCCGCTCGTCTTCTCTTCTCGACTCCAGTTGTGAGGCTGAGATCTACGCAGGAGCCATGGTTGCATAGGAGCTTCACTGGCTCACCTACCTGCTGACTGACCTCGGAGAGCCGCCTCGTTCTCCTCCAGTGCTGTACGTAGACAACAAGGCCATGCTGGCCTTGTGTCGAGAGCAGAGAGTGGAGCACAGAACAAAGCACATTGCTCTCCGCTACTTCCTCGTGAGCTACAGCAGCATGGTCAGGTGCGGATTGCGTACGTGGCCTCTGAGGCCAACACTGCTGATATCTTCACCAAGGCACTTGCGCCTTGTGATCATTAGCGCTTCTGTACTCAGCTGGGTCTTGTGCCTACCTTGCCTCACTTGCTCACCCCTTGACCTTGTTTGTACTGTTACATATATATATACTCCTACTCTTGCTTGTCTAGCCTTATATATATGTAATCTTGCATGTGAGCTGGCCTTGTGGCCCTTGTGCTCGGAATGTGTGGTGACTTTGTGATCCACCCTGAGCTTGCTTTGCTTTGCTTTGCTTGACTGGTCTTATGACCCCTTGTTCTCCCCCACTTTGCCTATGGGGGTGTGTCAGATTTATATGACATATGTAACGTAGGCTATAGTGGGGTAGCACATATGGGGTACAACTTTCTAGGGTTTGTATTGGTACCCAACTTTCCCTTAGTCATTTCATTCTCGTTTCAGTTTTCTCATTGATCTGCCTCTGTAGAATAACTGTCTTCCACTGCACTGCTGCCAAATTCTACTGCTGACTCCTCTCGTGAACATTCATGATCGCTCGTGTACAAATCATGGTCACTCGTGTGGGTTTACCGTTTTCTTCAGTTACAAACGGACTTTACCGTTTTGTACCTCTGTCGAAATAATGGCGCAAAGCAGCAAGACTTTCTGGCGAATTTTCGTGCAAGCCAAGTCAGCGCAAAATCCTGTTAGTCAACCGCAATCTCGAGTGCCCCACGTGCCCCTCATCACGACCGAGATATTTCTCGGTCGTGCAGGACAAAACAATCGCTGACGCGATCGTGCGTTGTCCTACATGTGACGAGGCGAGCATGTCGCTTCGTTCTGTATCGATCGTAGCGTACAGTACACGATCGAGACAGTGGCGACACCCGCGCATTTTCTGTCAGGACACACACGTGTGTCAGGACCCCACGCGCGGGTCGTGACTTCGTGCACTTTTTAGTTGACCAGCGCGAAGTGGTCAATGGGCTGGTCAAACTATCGAGCCCCAAACACAAACACCACTGGAAAACTCACAACCAATCTTCATGAAAAAACTCGACATTCATGAAACATAAAGCATTAATGCAACACACTTTCATGAACGCACATGTTCGTCGACGAAAACGAATGCACACAAAACACACACAAAATGCATAACGTCATGCAGACGGCTGGTTGCTGTGCAAAAATAATATTTGCACCCAACACATCGTGCATTCTTATAAATGTCAATGTGAACAGACCCGGGTCTTCTAAAAAATATACCATTTAATTATACCCCCCAGCCTGTTTAGACGTGATTATCATAATACCCATAGGGTCTTATATACGCGGGATTACGGTATAACCAGCGCCCAAAATTGGTTTTGGCCCACCCTGTCAAATCAGAGTTCCAGGGTGGGCCAACCCCGACTCCTAGGGTAAAACATTTCGTACCCTGATGGAAATAGGGTAAAAAAAATTGTACTCTAGTTTTGTTCACACATCCACATTTAAAACGAATAAGAACATTGCAAGTTGAAGTGTTTCACTAGGCCAGAGAAGTTGTGAGAGGCAAGGTCGCGGGTTCAATGGTCGCATTAGGAAAAAATTAGGGTGCACTGTTTCCTGGCGCCATTTTGCGCAACGTCCACCATATTCTCGTTACGAAAGTCTCGGTATCAGTGTAAAATGACTAAAACACCGATGAAAGTCAGGGGAACCAATCTATAGCTCGGATTTCATAAGGGTACAAAAAAATCAAACTCTTTATGAGTCAGGGTAAGAAATCCGGGAGCCTGACTGGGTCAGGGTAACCCCAAAAAAAGCGGCCGCCAGTCAGGGCAATCAGGGTATTTTACCCTGATATTTTGGGGCCTGGGTATAGCCGCTTCATTCGTTCTATATTCACTTTGTTCTAAGGTCATTAGTTCCGCTGCAATTATCTCCGTGCAAACCTTCCTGAGGTGATCCTGGCAAGTTCAAACTTCTCATCAGAACACCCCCCACCTCCGTGTCTACTTGTAGCCCACCCGCGTCATCGTTTCTCTTGACAGGGAAAATCAGGAAACATGCTGGGGTTTGCTGCCAGCGCATAGTCAACTGCCTACAGTACAATCATGGCAAAAAAAAAAAAAAACTACACCATTGACTCAGGTTTTTTTGTATTTTAAAAATATTATATATATATATTTTAACGGTGGTTGCACATGATTAAAAGTAACCTCAACAACGTAGGCTGATAATCACGGTTTCTGAAAAGGCTACACTGCTAATCAGAGAAGTCGAAATCCAAACGTAGTCCCCGTTCCATACCTGCCTGAGCTCCTAATCATGGCACACAAATGAACTTGGACCCTACACTCCCAACACACTTCTTCTCATTGTACACGTAATATTTTGAAATTGCTCCATTGGCAGCTCCACCATAAAAACTGTAAGCACCTGAGCATGTCAATGATGGTGACACTGGCTTTTGCCTGCCCTTCTTGCATATGCCAACGACGAATGACCAATACTCTGCCCTTAGGCAAATCTGAACGGCGACATTTACGAACACAAGAAATGAAAAAAAAAACATGTATTGAAAGAAAGAGATAGGCACACACTCAACGGGCAATCAAGGGCAAATAGTTGGAAAAAACACCACGCTGGCATATGAGAAATGACTCCTTGCCCCAACATCCATCAAGTATACGTTTGGTCCATCCACCAATCTTCCCTCCATTTCCCTCCCATCTCTTGCGCCCCCCAACCCAGTTCACCTCCACCTCTCACCTGTACGCCAGTGTTGCTGCCAACAGCAGAGGCGGAGACCGGGATGACATTCGAGCAGATGAGGCCGGGATTGTTGCGGTACAGCTCAGCCCAGCGCACAGCGTTCACGTTCCCAGCCCCTGTTGGGTCGTCCTCACTCCCCGCCTCCAGCAGCAGGCGTTCACACGTGTCCTGTGCTGTAAGCACGCCGTAACGTAGGCACCGAGGCACAGTGAAGGCGAAGGTGGCGTTCCGCTCGACGCACAGAGAGCGGCCCGCCTTGATGGGCTCAGAGCAGTCAAGGCCGGGATTGAGTGCCGTGAGGTTGCTGGTGGTGAGGAACAGCTGTGCACTGATGGACCAGCATGTGTCGCCCTGGAGGGTTGAACAACGGGAGAGAAGGCACAGATGCCTGAGGTGAATGGAGCGCAGCTTTACTATGCGACAGTCTTGCGGAGCTAAGCAAAGCAGAGTGGAGAAACATAGAAAAATAATATGATGAGATTCCATTCAACGAATAAAAATAAGGGCTAACTCTCACACTGAGGGTGTAGAAGAACGCAGTGCAGGGAACGAGGAGAGGATTTCCTAGCTGAAGCACCATGTTACGAGGCAAAGACTGATTGCAGTCAATGCCCTGCAATGAGGAGCACACACGATTCTTTAGTCACCACTTCAGGGGATGGCACATCGTTTGCATGACGAATCAGGAAGTAAATGGACACAGGAAGACAAAGCTATGAAGTGAAGGTGTAGCAATATTGCTTTTGTGATTGTTTTCATTTCACACATTGACGATTTCATAAACTGTAGATAAGCAGCTATGGGACTTAGAATTCCATTGTGAGGAATCAACCACTAGCCGTGCCTGCCAATCCACTCTTCCAGGCCCCCCATCTCCATTGGTTACCTGATTCCGCTGTGTGAATTGGGGAAGTGAGAGGCCCACAATAGAGAGGACATCGGGGCACCACCAGTTGCTCCCACTCACGGCCAGGGTGCTGGCTGTGACGTTGGCTGGAAAGCGACGAATGTGAAAGCAGGAGAACACACGCATAAGAAAGTAATCAAGAAAACAAAACTACTAGTTGTGTGTGCATCACATGAATTGACAGTAGAAGAAGTTTGCAGGGGTTGTAATGACCCCAACATATGTATGATTCAAGAAGAACTGAAAGAAGTAGCGACCCTCTTACAAACGATGCCAAGCCAGCAGCACCTGGGTCGCAGGTGGGGAAGCTGTCAATGGTTGTGCTTTCAACGTAGTTGGGGGGGCAGATGCAGGAGTAGGAGCCCTTGCCGTCGTTGATGC